GGTATCTCTTCACTCAAGCAGCTACTGGCTGCTGAGACTAACAAGCCCAAGGTTGACAAAGAAAATGGCATAGTCCCGATGTTACCAAATCACATGACAGGCCAGTAACTCAAGTCCACTGTACATCACTCAACCAGGCCCAGACAAGTTGACACAAACTTAACTACCACACATGCCTATATTTCCTATTTTACCAACTACATTGGCATTTATTTAGGGTGTTTTAAACTCAGCACCTAACACAATCCAAATGCATATTATTCAGTTAGTAGCCTGATGGATTTTCAAGGGACTGTTTTCTTTAAACACTCATTATATATTTCAGAATGCTTGGGCTGGGCATGTGGGTGGGTTTAATACTTATTTTGCTCTCATTGGCCATTGGAGTTCTTTGGTTGTTTGAAATTGTGGGCCTTGCCAAATGAAGAACAGACCAACATCTCATTTCCATTATTTTTAGGTCCTTGGCCCAGGCATTGGGATTGTTTCCATTTGCAAAGGAGCAGAGATTGGACTCTCCATGGCTATTCACCTAAAACAAGTGACGGCCACAGTCCTTATTAATGGGCCCAACTTTGTTTTCACAAATTTTCAGGAGTATCGTGGTCAGATCATTCAGCCCTTGCCCTGTACTTCACATTTACTGTCCAGGAACGCATTGGGGTTACTAGAGTTCTATCAGTCTCTGGGGGACCCTCAAGCTGAGGCCAATAAGCCTTTCCTCCTCCCAGTTGAAAAGGCCCAGGGACACTTGCTCTTCATCGTGGGAGAGGAAGATAGGAACCTAAACAGCAAAGTGTTTGCTGAGTGTGCCATAGAACAACTGAAGAGCAATGGGAGGAACAACTGGACCCTGCTGTCTTACCCTGGGGCAGGCCACTTGATCCAGCCTCCGTACTCCCCACTGTGCTATGGTTCATGGGTAAGCAACCTTCCAATTGCCTGGGGAGGAGAGGTGATCCCTCATGCAGCTGCACAGGAACACTCTTGGAAGGAGATCCAGAAGTTTCTAAGGAAGCACCTCATTCCAGTGCCGACCAGCCACTTCTGAGGATAGTAGATATTCCTGGGAAACAGACAAATCTCTTTACCCCTACCATCTCTTCATGTTTGTGAAGACATGTTTTTGATCTCTTATTGTAAGAAGGAAGTTATAGCAAGAGAAATCAGGATGAATGAAATCATAATGTCTTGAGTTGGGAAAGGGAAAATTGGTTTCTGCTCAACCCAGTATTTTATACTGAGGGGCCTCTATTTGTAGAAATAAACTTAGAGATTTGCCTGTCCCAAAATATCCCAATGCACAATTAAAGTGATTGTCAAGGGGAAAAAAATGTCACCAACAATGAAACACAGAATCCTCTGGTATACAAAACAAATATGCATCGAATCATATGTGATATTTGATGATTTCCTAAAATTCAAACTATATATGCATAGCTAGCTCATAATTGAAAATATGTTCAAGGCTCATTGTTATCACGATCATTGGAAAACTAGAGCTAGGTCAGAGGAGCTCTGGTGGAGCAGTGGTTAAGATATTTGGCCGCTAACTAGAAGGTCAGCAGTATAAACCCACCAGCTGTTCTGCGGGAAGAAGATGAGGCAAATAACTTCTGTAAAGATTTACAGCCTTGGAAACCCAATGGGGGTCTCTATGAGTTGGAATCAACCCAGTGACAGTGGGTTTGGGTTTAGAACTAGGTTAAGAATACACATTACTTTGAGGCAATATGGAAACTTACATAGAGGTAACATCATTGAATCAATCTATAACTAATAATTTAACAAAAGCTAATGAAACCAAGTAGAATAATTTTTGTGTCTAAAGACATATAGGGGGCCCTGGAGATGCAGTGGTTAAGTACTTGGCTGCTAACCAAAAGGTTGGGGATTGGAACCCACCGGTGCCCAGTGGGACAAAAAATGTGGCAGTCTGCTTCTGTAAAGATTGACAGCTTTGGACACCCTATGGGGAAGTTCTGTTTTGTCCTGTGTGGTAGCTATGAGTCAAAAGAGACTGGACAGTAACAGGTAAACACAGACAGCATTTTGTCATTCTCAGTTATGTGAGAAGCAATCTGAGAGCCACAAAATTGCAAAATACGCAAATTAATGATTGTGGCTGTTTCAATTAAAGTTTATTTATGGACGCTGAAATTTGATTTTCATGTAAATTTTACATCACACAATAATAGCTTTCTTTTGATTTTTTTTTTCTAACTATTTAAAAAGGAATAAACTTTTCTTAGCTCATATGCAGCACAAAAAATTCTTGGCAGGGCAGATTTGGCTAGTAGGCTGTAGTTTGAGGACCTTGGTGTACAGCAATCCAAACTACCATATCCAAGGTCAAATGTGAGGTATCTTGTCTAAGGGGCAAGCCATAGCCCCAGTATCTGTGAGCTACTGAATGGCAATGGATGAAGACTGAGAGTGACAATGCAGAATCAACGTGATTATCATTTCAGTTCTTTCTGCCCTTTCTTTTATCTCCCTCTTTCTGGCTGTAAAATCTATTTGCCGGCCATCAATTTCCCCTCTCTGGGGAAATGGTCATAGAAATGGTCATATGGCACAAATCTGGCCAATCAGAATTCCTCACTCTTTTGACTATAATGATTGTGTAACTGCAATGGCTAATAGGCTTCAATTCAATGTTACATAATATTGTCATAACGGGTAGAAATTTTTTTGCTTCCTGTGTTGGGCTTCAGGAAGACATCACTGCACGAACAATAATGTTAATATTTAGCCTGATATGTGTTCCCTGATTTATAATTTATGGAGTGATTTTCTTTTTTGAACCAATAACTTTCTCTCTCATAGTTTATTTATTTACTTTTAGTATCAGTAGCAATGATCATACAGTATTTCTCTATAGATCTATTAATATGATGAATTATTTTTCTTGTATGGAATTATCTTTAAATTTGTGGGAAAATTCATGTAGTTATGCTGTATTCTTAATTAAACTAATGAATGAGATTGCACTGTTGTTTTTCTTTTTTGTGTGTGGTTTTTTTTTTTTTTTTTTTTTTGGTCAGGTGTTGCATTGGTGTGGTACTTGCTTCATAAAAATAATTCAGACGTATTACTTCTTTACTAGAGTACTTTAATTAGCACTGAAATGATATACTCTTTAAAGGTTTGACAGTAATATTTCGGGTATTATTCCCAATTTTTTTTTTTTAAACGAACATTTTGTCCACTTCTTCTATGGAAAATGTCTATTATTTTTAACTTTATAGAGGCTGGTTTTGTCCAACTACATTTAGAAGAAAATGATCTATTTCACCTAGTATCTTAGTAATGAGACCATATCAGTGAAGGATGTGTCTTAAGCCAATCACCTTTGAGATATTAAAAGAGCAGGTTAAGCCCAGAGAACAAAGCAGAGATGGGGGAAGACAGATGCCACAACACTCGAAGATCCCCCAGGAACCAAGGAACAGAAGCGCAAAGAGACAAGAATCTTCCCCACAGAGCTGTCGAGGAAAAACCTTTCCTAGAGCTGGTGCCTTGAGTTCAGGCTTCAACCCTCCTAAACTGTGAGCAAATAAATTTCTGTTGGTTAAAGCCACCTACCTGTGGTATCTCTGTTACAGCAGCACTAGAGAATGAAGACAAGGCCTGCAGTCATACTTTATTATCTTTAAATTAATGCTTTATTGGGTTTTCGGTAAAAGTTTACACAGCAAACTAGGTTCCCATTTGACAATTTCTACACAAATTGTTCAGTGACGTTGGTTACATTTTTTCACAATGTGTCAACATTCTCATTAATTCTGTACCATTTTTCCATTTCCCATATTCTAGTTCACCTATCCCCTTATCTCTCATTCTGTTTCATACAGTATTTCTAAAACTTGGAATTGAGATGTTGTTCTCCTCTTTTAAGACCTGTCAGTGGTTTCCATTGGTTTCAGGATAAAATTTTAAAATGTGCCCATGTCCTAACATAACATCTGGTACCATCTCTAGCTACCTCCTTCTCTTCTTCCTCATTTCTGTAATAGTCCAGCCATATTGAATTACTTGAATTCATTCAACACATATGTGTTGAGCACCTTCAATGAGCTAAGTGTAGTTGCAGGCGATTGGAGTCTTCAGTGAACAAACAGTAAAAATGCCTGTCGTGGTGAAGCTTTTTACAGGACATTCCCACAAAGAAGATACATTTATATACAAAGTTCTTCTTTTTAGAAGATTCTTCTGTGCCTCTTTATCCAGCTAATCCCTACTCAATGCCCAAGCTCCACTTCAAGGCATGGCCTCTGAAGACTTTCTGGGCTGTTACAGGTTCCTCTTTGATGTATTTCCACAACCTTCATTTTTGGAGGTATACATAGCACACTCCATTGTATTGCCTGGTTACTTCTCTACCTTTTCAATTAGACCAGGAGTGGGCAAACTTTATCTGTAAAGGGCTAGAGAGAGGTTATGGATTGAATTGTGTTCTCTCAAAATATGTGTTGAAATCCTAACCCCTGTTCGTGTGGGGGTGATCTTGTTTAGAAGCAAGGTTTATCTTTTTATGTAAATGAGGTCTTATTCGAGAAGGAGGGATCCTAACCCTATCACTTCTGAGGTGTAGAAAGGATGGAATAAACACAGAGTCACACACAGGGGAAGACAGACACCATGTGAAAACCATCCACAAGGCAAGGATGGCCAAGGCACCTAGGAACATTCAGGACTATCAACAAGGAAGAAATGAACAGGGCTGACCCCTGACTTGGACTTTTAGCCTCTAGAACTCTGGGAAAATCAATTTCTGTTCTCTAAAGCCACCTGCTTGTGTTATTTGTGTTATAGCAGCACGAGGCAGCTAAGACAATAGTAAATATTTCAGACTTGCAGTCATGTGACCTCTGTTGCAATCACTAAGTTCAATCCCTGTAGCCTGACAGCAGCCATAAACAATGTGTACATGAAACTTTATCAAAACAGATGGTGGCCTACAGTTGGCCTGTGCATTGTAATTTGCTAATCCCTGGACTAGTCTATGAATTTCTTCTTTTTAAGTCATATTTTATTTTGTTTTCAGTGAAAGTTTACACAGAAAATTAGGTTCCCGTTTAAGAATTAGTCCACAAATTATTCAGTGACATTGGTTACTTTTTTCACATTATGTCAACATTGTCATTAATTTTGTTGTAGATACGGCAGAAACAGGGTCCCAGTCATTCCTTACACCCTTCTTCTTCTGCTTTTTTCCCCTTTTCTTCCACTTCCTCCCATGAGGTTTTTCTTTTCTTTTCTTTCTTTGTCCTTTTTTTTTTTTTTAAATCCAGTTGAGTGAGGAGCTTGTCCTCCAGCACTGCCGTATTCAGTGGTGCCACCCTGAACCCCAGTATTCAGTGGCGCGTGCTTCTCCGGAGCTGGTGCCAGCTTTCCATTGCAGCAGTGTTTGGTGGCCATCACTTCCACCAGTACTGTGCCACATTTGTTTCTTCTTTTTTGTTTGTGTGTTTGCTTGTTTTTCTTCCTTTTCTCTTTGCCTTTTTCCTTCTCCTTAGGTTTTCCCCTTCATTTTTTTTCCCTATACCTTCCCCATCACCCTTTTTTTCTTTTTTTCCCCAGCAGTTGGGAACCAGTGACCCTACCCAACCATACCCCTCCACACCTGCTGCCCTATCCACTGACGAGGACCACCACTTTGGTACTACTGGACTGACAACAGAGGGTGGTCAACACCTGCAAAGCATGCCTTCAGGTGCTCTGCATGATCAGTGATCACAGACACATGCCCACACTCCCACCTGTGACCAAATCTACTGAGACAGATGGTGAGTTCCCAGTACTGCCAAACAGAAATCAGAGAAACCCAACTGCCTGTTGCCCAGATATATCAAAACAGAACAAAACAAAAGGTTTGAAGCAAACCAAAATATAATCAACAAATTAGTATAATAACACTACAGTATCTTTTTTGATACTTCTCAAAGAACTGGCCAGTGAAAACCTTATGAATAGCAGTGAAACATTGTCTGATATATTCCTGGAAACCTTTATGAATAGCCCTAAAACATTGTCCAATATAGTGCC